TAAGAGTTGAAAGAGTTGAGTCTAAGTCTGCTACTCATATCGCCCAAGTGGCTGATTTAAGTTTTCTGAGTTAGCAAGTCTCCCAAGTTTCTTTTAATTTAGTAAGCCTCCAAAGTTTCTTCTAAGCCTATTCTTAGTTATCTAGTTCCTTAGGTTCTATCTCTCAAAAGTCCGTAAGGTGAGACCTTTTTACCAAACAGTAAGTCCCAGGTAGAGGCATGAGCGGTTAGGCACGAGAAGGTGAGAGAGAGAAAACCCATAGGTTCTTAGGTACCTTAGAGTCAATCTTAGGAGTTACCCAAGAGTCTTTCTATTTTGGGAGTCATGTAAGAGTCTTTCTAATTTAGTTAATTTAAATTTTCCACGTAAGCAAAATGAGTCGTTTATTTAGAACCAATTCAATTAATTCTTCTAGTTCAAGTACCAGTCTAAGCCAAGTACCAGATATAATTAATGAAGAACAATTAGAATTTGAGTCATCTAGTTCAGAATTACATTGCAATGATTGGAATATTCCCAAAGTCTCTAGCGAAGAAATTTATAAGCAAAAATGGTCAATCAATGCATTCAAGACTACTACGCATGTTAAAACAGTAGAACAAGTCTATGCCTTAGGAAAAGAACATGAAACATGTCAGTTACTTAATTTAGATGCAATTAAAAACCATAGAAAAGAAGGTAATAATTTTTTACATATAGGTCTAGTTCAAGTTGCAGTTAAGCCCTTAACTAAATTAGGTTTAAAAGCCGCAATTTTATTAAGTCTAAGAGATGCCAGATTTAATGATTACCAAGAAGGAGTCTTAGGAATTATTGAGTCAAGTCTATGCCATGGTCCAGTTCATTTTGATTGTTATCCAGATTTTACAGTAAGCCTTAGTGATCCTCATATTTTAAAAGTTTTAACTTTAAATATTAAAACTCATGGTTATAATGTTTTACCAGGTACCCAGCCTTTAGCTTTAATTTATAGAATTTATTATAAAGTCACAGGTACTAATATGAATTTCCAAGCCTTAAGCAAAAGCCCGAAGAACCAAACACTTTTAATTCAAAGTCATACGTCTTGTGCAAATATCAAAGTTCCTCAAATGATTAGATGGTCAGATGTTAGTTTACCTAAAGATTGGTTTTTAACCACAGAATGCCCCCCTAAGCCAATCCAACGTAGTTTAAATGATTTAGATTATATTCAACCATATTTAGATGGTACGGTTAAAATTAGTTTTGATAGGCCGATAAAGTCAACAGTCCAATTAGAACAGTTACCTACGCCTAGTCAATCTTTTAAGTTTCCTGTTAGACATTCATCCGCAGAATCATCTTCAATTACAGAAAGAGATTTAGAAGCCGACAAAGCTTTAATAGATTTTAAAATTAATGAATTAAGAAAGGCCAAGCAAGTAGTTCAACCAAG